AGTCGCTCCCAATCAGAGACTTTGTTCAGCAAAGACTCGACTTCAGACACAAGTTTCTTCCGGTACTCGGCGACGTTTTCCATATTTTGAAATATTGGCACGGTCGGTGTATAGAGCATCACCAGCGCTGTAATCCGTATAGCGATGAATGTTACCGGTTTGCAACATATCATTGATATGCAGAAGAAACAGCGCTAGTGATAGCACGCAACTTTGTGGAACACCAGCGTTAATAGGCTTGTAATAGGAGCATGCACCGTCTACAACGACCTTGATGCTCCGATCATCCAGAAAACTGGTGATCCAATTGCACAATTTCCCGGGAAGCCCATATGAAGGAAGGAAGCCCAAGCTTTGTGCCAAACCCGATCGAGGGCCTTCGCTATGTCCACACTAACGGCCAATGCCTCCCCCTTGGACTCAATCGCCTCCGCCAATTTATGTAAAGCCTGAGCCTCCGCCAAGCATTGAAAAAGCTCTTGAAGCAGCAAAATTATTGGAAAAGTACTTTTTTTTATTACCAAGATGACTCAATATCGCAAGATATGAATTAAATTAATAATAAAAAATACAACATAATTACTGGAGCAGCAAAAGACGTCAGACGAGAATAACAGATTATACGCAATAGCGTTCAAATAACAATTATTTTTATCTATTTAATAACACTGGTCTGAAATAAGCTTTTTCTTTTTCTAATACAGATATTACTTCGTTCCATTTAATGACAACTCTCTATATAGTCAAAATTTGCACAGTCCCCTGAGTATCGTTATATACAATTTACACTGTATTTTCTTAATCTGTAGAAAGTTTTATAATTATATTTACGCTAAAAACGCCCCTTTCTATTGATATGCCACGCATTCCAACCACACAGTTTGTTTCGTTTTTTTAAGGCGTACTGCAAAAGCATAAAGTGATGAGAGTGAATAATTTACTTTAAAAAATTAATGTGGTTTTATTTCAGGTTCTTTGAAGATACCTAGTATTCAAGGAAAAATTTTAAAGGCTTTTCTTACACTAAGAGAGTACGATTTACCATGAAGCCACCATTTAATAAACAAAAACCCGAAATAAAACCAAGTTGATGTTTTTACTAATTAAAATACTTTCAGATACCTGGTTGGCACCTCAGTTGCTTAATTACTTCGATTGTTCTCAAAGAAGACGTGCTAAAATTCGCTGGTTCCGTAGGCCGTGGACTCGTAGATCTCACATAAGTAATTCCGCTTAGTGCTTTTGGATGCGTTGTCGGCCATTAGATGGTTACCAGATTCCCGTTCGTCAATCAGCAGAGGAAACAGTGTGCAAATGATATTGACATTTGGGGAATCGATGGTTTATTCGTAAATATAACTTCTTATGTTCTTAAAAATAGAAATATTTTCCATGGCTGGTGTCGGAAAACGACTAAACCTTTCGTAGAAAGAATGGATAAATAGAAGAAATAATCCATGATTTTTTTTTTTAAATAAATTATCAGTAATAAACATTTTTAAAAACAAGCTTTTGTTAAAATGCTAACAAATGACGAAAATAAACTTTAAATTAAATCAAACCAGCATTATATATTAAACATTGCAATTTAACTGCAAAACCTTAAAAATGCCTTTGTTCCTTTAAAGATTTCAGAAAGCTTGGTTTTGGACGACATTTTTGTTTTTTATTTTGTTGAATTATTTATAAATACCGGCCAGATTTTTAATGAAATATTTATGTATAAGTAACAAAATAAGAATTTCAAAATGTTTATACAACACGCATAGATTTTAAGCTGTCATGGTCCTAGTGAGCATACTAGATTGTCGTCATAAACTTAATAAAACGTCTGGAACTACGTTACGTGTCTTCAGTTAGGTATTAAAGGGTTTTATTAGATGGTGGGACTCCTTTTAGTTTGTACTTGTAGGTGCCACCCTCTTACCTCATTCGGCTCTCAAATAGCAGTGCTTGCACTGCCGAGTTCTGGTTCGAAGGATATAGAGAGTCAGTATAATTAAAGGTTGTTATGTATTCCATATTAGTCCTCAAATGTAACTACACATCTGAAGCCTTCATTGTTTGGAGTTGGACGGCTGTAGCCACTTACCACCAGGCGGGCTGTAAGTTCGTTTGTCACTTCAGTTTTATAAATAAAGGGAAATGAAGTATTTATTTTGCAAATCTGTTGCGTTAAATGCAATCACATTGCATTTGATTATTCAGCAGAGACAGTATCATGAGTTTTGCTGCCTGAAGTTGTACGTCATAAATATAACGGCTGACAGTAATATACGCACGCGTGCTATTTTTATGCATTGCAATATTTTATTCAAGTTGATGGTTGTAAAATTAAATTTATTTTATATTTTCAGTATTTTCATTTTATTTGTTTTTATACACTGATCTCAAACTCACCGTAACGTCAATTTATTTTTTGGATTGGTGAAACCATCATCTTTAGAGTGCCACTAGAACTAACTTTTCTATCCTCTTTTACTTGACTTTAACATATATCATAAGAAGAAATGTAAGGATCATTTTGACGCAGCTATTCATCATCGTTAATAACATCATCATCATCATCATGACAGCCAACCCATAAGTCCATTGCTGAACTCCAAGGAATGCTTCACAAATCGGTATCGAATATCCACTGAGTCAATCTTATTCAATACATCTCTTACCAGGCCGTTACTCCATCTATATGGGGGTCACCCTACACTTCGCTTACGGGTACGAGGCTGTTACTCGTGAACCTTTTTCTTCCAATGGTTGACGTTTTTTCGAACTATATGGGCTGGTCCATTGCCACTTCACCTTGCTGATCCATTGGGCTTAGTCAACTACTCTTTATCATTTAGCATAGCATAGCATAGCCTTACACTAAGCTCGCTGACTGATTAAGTTTCATCATAGGGTCATAAATGAAGGACCACGTCTCAGATCCATATGATATATCTGGTAATACGCACCGGTTGCATACTCTTGTTTAGAGGTTTCGAAGAAATAGGTGTCAAGAAGATGTGTCGTAACCTCCCGAACAAAGTCCAGCCGAGTTGGATCCATCGATCGGACTCTTGGTCGAAGTTGAACTTACCTAGTCGGATAATTTGCCTTATTTAAACACACACGTTAGCAATTTTGGGCGAAGTGTTCTCAAAACGTATCGGCATAGGAAAGATATTAAGTTATATACAATTCCAATGTCTTTAGGATATATTATGTATCCTGAGATGGCAGATGGTATTTACACATGACCTACACAAGAAATGATTTGATAGATTATTTTACGATATCACAACACAGCAAATCTCACTGTTCATGTAAACATACCGTATACCACGCACCAACAAGCGTTGTTAGTTGCATAATTTATATAGGAGACTATATTGACGGCCCCGTGGCGCAGTGGCTAATCAATGAATTGTTGCGCTGGGGGCCGCGGGTTCGAATCCCGCACGGAAGAAGTATTTGTTTGGCCTACTAATAATTGTTTCGGATCTAGATGTTTGTCCTCGTGCAATTTATGTTTGTAAACTGCCTCCACGACACAGGAGAAAATCCTAGTGTGGGGGTAACGTGTTTTAATAACAAAAAATAAAAAATAATTAAAAATATTAGAGAGCCGTTGTAGCTCAGAGGCTATGCGATCGCTGTTAATTTCACAGTACGCGAGCAACCCGGGTTCCGCCGACATGAATGAAATCGTAAATTGCATTTTAAGCGCCGATTTACCATGGGCTCGGCGGTGAAGGAAAACATCGTGAGGAAACCTCATGACTGGTAAATGAAAGAAAAATATTTCGAAGACATTAACTTCGTCAATACTTCACTTCCTTGCCCTAAAACTGCCCCAGAAATGAGATAAGCCTATACACAGGAGTGAGATGTATATAGGTACTTTACTATGTTTGACAATGATCACTGATATAATAATTGTTGATAGAATTTCGAAGCGTCTACAAATAAAATCATTACAGATATACATACATAGATAAAATAGTTTCATTAGTTTTTTATTTATAAATATATTTCATATTTAATTAAGTTTTTTTATTTATATACCACAATCAAAGTCTTAATCATAGTTTTTTATTCAAATTATGTTAAAAATTGTCGAAGTCTGATAAAAAATTTTTTTATTGAAAAAAAAGCTTGAATTATTATTATTATTATTACATTTCTATGGAAAGTGTGTTTTAGGGGGTCTTTAGTAATAAATTTCAATTGACTAGAGTGTAAACCTGCGGATTTATAATAATAATAATTATTATTATCATCTATATACGGGTAAATTACACCCACATCTAGTAAAATCAATGAATTTAAGATCAATCTCCAAAATTTTAGCAATAAATAAATCAATGTCATTACAAAATAACAATTTTAAAATAATAAATCCAATCAATGTAAATAGGCAGTAGGTACTGTCAGTATATAAAATAATAAATTAAAATTAATATATAAATAACAGAATTACACACTTTTATCAGTCAGGAGACGAGATCAATAATTAAAACATTCTCTGCGACAACTGTACTGCGATAAATGAATTTAAAATCAATATCCACAATTTTCTATTTTTTTTTCTGTGGCAACCCCGGTGACAAGTTGTAAAATAATTGCTCCCAACTATTTTTAAAAATTAAATATTGTAAATTAATAATATCCACCTCAATTTTGAGTTACAGTTGTTAAATACGACTTATTTGTGTTTGTGATATAAGTAAAAGTCAGAAGTACCTATTTTAATTACATACATTGTGTTTACTGTTCCAACCAAAAGTAACAGCTGTAACGAACATCGTTTAAACGTATTGTAAGTGTAATTCTTGTTATCCCTTTAACATTTTAAGATTTACCTATTAAGTGTTGTTGTGGATTTCATTTTGAATTATTTACATGATAATTTAATTTGAGATCTGTAAATAAGCCCATACATCTCGACATTTGCTTACTCTGCTTCTTTGGTTTTCTTTCTTTGTTTTCTTTTGCTATTTACATTTAATAGTAAAATGAATACACGCAACGCCAAAACGCGCCAATTGGAGAACCAACTTCAAATGGCGCTTCAAGAACTTAAGGCGTTAAAGGAGCAGTGTGAGCTATTAATTAAAGAAAGGGATGACAATGAAAAGGAAATAATAAATATAATTGCTAAAAATACTAAACTAAAAAGTGACATGGTTAAGTTGCATAAAGAATATACATTTGTTACAAAAGAAAGGGATCAACTTCAGAGAACGGTCGATGAGTTTGACCAATGCAGCAAGGAATATGAGGAATCCCTCAAATTAATTGCTGCATTGCAGTTACAGTTAAGTGAGGCTAATGAGCAGATTGTGCAATTAAAACATTACATAGATAACATGAAAGCGTCCCAAACTCAAAGTCTGTTCAACGAGCTCATAGAGTGTGAATCTACTAAATCTAAAGCATTGCAACCCTCCACAACAATCGATTTGACTGGTGATGATTATGTCATATCAAGAACAGCAGTAAGGACTACCTGCAGTAGAAGAAAATTAAAGAAATATATAAAAATTAATAAATATATTAGAAAACTACAAAAATTAATTAAAACTAAAATTAATGTTAAAAATTATATAAATGTATGCAAAGAAAAGCAAGAACTAATTAGTAAACTTAAAATATATTCAATTGAGGTGGAAAATATGAATCACTGTTATGAGACTGATATAGAATGTCTAAATTCAACAATTTTATCACTTAAAAGCTCTCTAGAAATTGTATCAAATAAATATGCATCGGCTCAAGATGAGATAAAAGAACACATATTGGCCATGAATGATCTGGTAAAATCATGTGAATATAATGAGGAGCGCTTTGACTCCTTAATAAAAAATCAGAGTGAGTATCAGCGCTCCATACCAGGTTCATCGGGGACAATATGTGTAAATAACAAAGTTAACAGTAAGACCTCATTATTTTCACCTACACTCTATGACAGTGCCATGACAAAGGATATAAACTTAAAAAGCAATGTAAATATTAAAAAAAAAAAGTTATTATGTATTGTGATGACATAGGCAAAAATTTGGGCATGATGTTAAATAACTGTTTAAAAGGACATATGATCACAAATTATTGCATGCCTGGAGCATCCTTTAGTCATATAATGAATAAAGTTTTAGCTAGTAAATTTTGTCCTAATAGCACATTAATAATTCTTGTTGGGAGAAGAGGCAATGTAAACAAAAATCAATTATTAAAATATATTGATAATCTAAATACTTTAAATGTACATAAAATTATCTTGTTTACATTGCCTTACATACAGGGTTGGCCGCAGGAAAATAAAATAAGATATGATTTAAATTTATTAATGAATAACTTTTCATGTAATAATAATTTAAACTTGACATTTAATTGTTACAATTATAATGATAGAATTAATTTAATAGATATAAATAATTTAATTAAGAAATTTTTGACTAGAGATAGGTATTACCTATCAAAATATAATTTAAGACAGATAGCAAATGTGCTATCTTATTATTTATATATTAACTCAGCCAAGGACTTGGCTACACAGACATCTGCTTCTTTTGAGCAGTGTAATGACTTAATATGCAATTTGGAATCAGTTCCAAGTAATTTAAATTAGAAAATGAGACAATAGAGGTAATCTCTAGCAGTTATAATAACTTAAATAATTTAGAATGTAGCTTACAAATCTTTAATTGTATGACTCCACAGAGTAATAATGAAAATTGTTTACACCTGGTGCATCAAAATATACAAGGCATGATAGGCAAAGAGCTAGAAATTGAGTTGTTCTTAAATAGCAACAATATTCATATCTTATGTATTACTGAACATTGGTTAAAAGCTTATAATTTAATGTTTAACTTCAGTAATCACCAGGTGGTCAGTTCTTTCAATAGAGATACGGTTTTAAGAGGTGGCTCCTTAATATTAGCTAGTAAATTATTATCATGTAAAGAACGTAAAGACATTGTGAGCCTCTCTGTTGAGCGAACTGTAGAAATGGCATGTGTTGAGTTTGAGCACCTCATTGTTGTGAGCGTCTACAGACCCCCATGTTGTACATATGATACTTTTGAAAACATTATGGAGGAAGTTTTTGCTAAGCTTAATAAACAGAATAAATCTGTTGTAATATGTGGAGACTTTAATATCAATCTCCTAGAAGCTTCCTCCATCAATATTAAATTTAGATCATTGTTTAAATCATATGGTCTTTTCAATTTATTTATAGAGCCAACGCGTATTTCTCAATCTAGTGCAACATGTATAGATAACATTTTTACAAATGTGAAGCCGTTGCATAAATGTATAATTCAAAAATTAAGTTCTGATTACTGTGGACAAGTAGTTTCGTTACCTTATGTTCACAAAAAGCAAGTAGATGAGAAAGTTGTGTCTGTTCCAGTAAATGCACGTCGCTTGGAGAAATTTAGAAGTAACATAGTGAAAAAACTTCCATCACTTTCATACCAAAATGATCCTAATTTTTTGTATGGAACATTATTTAAGCTTATTTGCAATGAATTTAATAATACTTTTACTTCTAAAACATTCTCCTTGAACAGTCGGAAGTCATTCAATGAATGGGCGACAGTAGGAGTCCATAAGAGCAGGCATAGGTTATATGATCTTTACCATGAAAGGTCATATAATCATAGCGTCGAATTTAGCGAATATGTAAAAAAATATTCAAAAATATTTAAAAGAGTGTGCTCCATAGCCAAGTCTTTGCATTTGAGCAACAAAATTAAGACGGCTTCCAATAAAATTAAAATGACATGGAGTATAATTAATAGCGAAACTGGTAAGATCAACTCTTGCAATTCAAATTACCAGTTAAGTGTTAACAACAAATTAACTGTATCAGATCAGGACGTAGCAATGGTTTTTGAGAAATATTTTACTGATATTCCGATCTTGACCACTAAGTCACTGAATTCTTCTCCTGCCGTCGCCGAATCATTACTTAAACAAAATGTAAATGTGTGTACAAAGAATTTTACATTTCATAAAGTGTCATCAAAAGATATTGTAAAATATTTTAAAACTATTGATGTTAAGAAAACTGCGGATCTGTGGGGGATTTCCGTTAAAGTTATTGCGTCTATAATAGATACAATCGCGCCGCATTTAGCTATTATTTTTAATACTAGTATCGAATCTGGTGTGTTTCCTGATTTAATGAAGCATAGTAAAATAATACCTTTATTTAAATCTGGTAGTACATTAGACCCCGCCAATTTTAGACCTATTTCTGTACTACCAACACTTAGTAAGATTTTTGAAAAAATTGTTCTTGATCAAATGTTAAATTTTTTTAATATAAATAATTTACTTCATAAAAATCAATTTGGTTTCACAAGGGGTCGCTCGACAACTGATGCCGGTGTTGAGCTGATTAAATATATCTTTAATGCATGGGAGAATTCACAGGATGCTTTGGGTATATTTTGTGACCTATCCAAGGCCTTCGATTGTGTTCACCATGAAACATTAATCAGGAAACTTCAACACTACGGTGTAAGAAGTGATGCCCTTAAATTAATTATTTCATATTTAAGTAAGAGAACGCAAAAAGTTGTCATTAACAATATGAGCTCTTCCGGATCGACGGTACAAATGGGCGTGCCTCAAGGCTCAATTCTCGGCCGCTTTCTGTTTCTTGTATACATTAATGACTTACCTTACATAGTAGGGGATAACCATGATATAGTATTATTTGCAGATGACACTTCTTTAATTTTCAAATTAAGTCGACAGTTACTAAAATATGACGAAGTAAATAATGCTATATCTAAATGAGTAAATTGGTTCGATGTTAATAATTTGCATTTAAATGGCACTAAAACAAAATGTATGAAATTCGTGACTCCAAATGTCAAACAATTAAATACTAATTTAATTTTAAATGGGGAGAAACTGAGTCTTGTAGATACCACCATTTTTCTTGGAATCATACTAGACGCGAAGCTTCAATGGAGCCCCCATATATCAAAACTAGCAAGCAGACTTAGTTCTGCAGCATATGCTGTAAAAAAGATTAGAAGTCTAACCAGTGTTGAAACAGCTAGACTAGTTTACTTCAGCTACTTCCATAGCATAATGTCGTATGGTATTTTGCTATGGGGACACGCAGCTGACACTGAAATTATATTTGTTTTGCAGAAGAGGGCCATAAGAGCAATTTATGATTTAAAGCCTAAAGAGTCGCTGCGACAAAAATTTAAGGAAATTAATATATTAACTTTGGCCTCTCAATACATTTATGAAAATGTAATGTACGTACACAAAAATAAAAGTAGTTTTACAAAAATAAGTGATATTCATTCTGTAAATACTAGGAACAGACACAAGCTAGTAGTACCAGTTACTCGACTCCATCGAGTCAGTAATTCATTCTTGGGGCGATGTATACGCTTTTACAACAAAATTCCAGAAAATATACAAAGTTTGACCTGTTCAAAGTTCAAAAACTTTATTAAACTAAGTTTGTATAAAAAGGGTTATTATAATATTAAGGAATTTATGGATGATAATAACCCCTGGAAATGAGGTGATCGCTACCAAGCTATTTCTAATTTGTTGTGTTGTTAATTTGTGTAACATCATGATTGTAAGCTGTTATTTAAAAAAAAAGTCCCGCTGGGTTTCTTGCTGGTTCTTCCCAGGACAGAGGTTTTTTCCGAACCAGTGGTAATCAAACAAAAGAGTGACTTTCAATAAGTATTATTTATAATCTATATTGAATAAAAAAGTTTCTGTTTCTGTTTCTGTTTCTGTTTCGCAATAAATAAATCAATGTCAATATAAATAACAATTTTAAAATAATAAATCTAATTAATTTAAAAAGGCGGTAATGTCAGTATATAAAACATTATATAGTAACAGAATTATAATATCAGAATTACACTGTTATCAGTCACGAGACGAGATCAATCAAAACTTTCTCAGAGGCAACCGTACTGTGATATGTATGTCGCAGCAATGCTGGATGATATAGCAGTCAAATCTTTCCGCGATCATCGCCAGGATAATGTTGGAGCTGGCCCGCACTCTGCGCACTAGGGACGCGGCCCGCTTACGCATGTTGGCATGGAAGCCATCGGTGTGCGCATCCGCGAACATACCAGAGGTGCTACAAAATCGAGGTAGCCCCATCACCGCCCTAAATGCATTATTATATTGAACGCGGAGAACGCTGTAAAACTTCCTACTGTAGTTGGCCCATAAGCTGCACGAATGGAGAGATATACAGAACGTTCGAAAAAGCGTAACCTTAACCTCCGTTAAACATCGCGCAAACTTACGAGCGATCATGTTAGCTATGACAGACAGCGCCCTTCGCTCCCGATCCATATCCGCGTGATCTTTCAGGTCGACGGTGAGTAAATGCCCAGATATTTAAACTGTTCAACCCTTTCCAGGGGTACACCATTTAATTTTATTTGAGGTATATTAGCAGAACATTTCGCACCAGCGGCCTCAAAGATCATGTATTGACTCTTACTGACATTATATAATAATCCGTGGCCACATGCATATTCCTCGCATATCCGTATCACCTCAGACCGCAGACCGTCGCACTCAGCAACACCATATCCATGTGGCAAGAGAAATAGGCCTAATGTTACTCTTGTCAGTCAAGTCACTCGTTTTGTTCTTCACTATAGGTACCACCACAGTTTTCATAGGTATGGCTCACACACAGAGAGTAGAACATAGCCAAGACCCTAGCTATGTGAGGTCCGGCACGTTGGAAGTGCTTAACACTAAGTCCATCATATCCCGGGGACTTGCCTCCTGACATATCGCCTATAGGTTAAAACACGTACACGTATTACTTCATAAATAATCAGTAATACGTGTAAACTAAAGAGTATGTCGCTTTAATTAAGAATGCCGCTGTAAGTCTGCCGAACAACTGACACTAGTCCAACGTCTATGTATGTTCTTACTCTATAATCGTCATATTACAAAACATGGCTTATTGATTGTCTGGGATTTAAAGTACGGTTTAACAAGAATCCTTCTAACCAAAGAAGTCGTCCCTTGGGCGCGGCGTCATAGTTTTCACGAAATTTTACGTTTGCTGTAAAAAATACATAAATTACGTTTTAGTACACATATTTCTGCGGGTCTTATTTTGTGTAACAGATTTTAGTTTAACCTGATAGTAAACATAAAATACTTTTTTAATAAGGCCGAAGGATCTAAAAATTGTATAATCTTAGTTTTTTTTACCATCTCGTTATAAGTTATATAACACTGTCGCTAGTACATATTTCTAAAAAAATAATAATTTATATATCACTAGGAGTTGTTAAAATCATGATGACAAAATTTGTAATTTAATTTTAAAAGTACAATTTTGTTTAATACTTCGAACATCTAGACGAAGTTAACCGGTTTTGGCGACTCAATTAAAAGCTGAATATTTTCGTAGCGTTATCATTTATTTGGATCAAAAATTATGAAAGTACGAAAAATAGTCACTGAGTAAAAAAATAAAGCATTTTTTATTTTAAATTTTTTAAAGAATATGTGTGACAAGCGAGCACGCAGTCCACCTGGTGGTAAGTGGTTGCTGTGGTCCATAGAAATTTACATTAATACTTT